AATTCAAATTAGAGGTGCTAATAAGAGAATGACTAAGGTCATTTTCCATTCCCAAAAGAATGCGAGCACTAGACTAATAAAAAATCTGGTGCTCAATTGCACCAACAAGCCCAGTTTATTACCAATACCATCGTGTATTTTACCAATATTACTTAAAAACGAATGTACAAATTGTGCTATTCGATCATTAGGATAGTACCTATTGAGAATTGTTGTTAATTCACCAGTTGTACGTGTATAAAAATAGGAAATATCCTTTTTTAATAGAACACGAATGGTTTATTCTCGTATTAGTCTTGTTTGACGCTCACATGCCAAAGAACACAAACTCGTTTGAATAAAAGCAAGTATGAACGAAACATAACCGATGATTGTAAAAATATAAGTGATAGTTCGATTAAGTCTTCTGATTCTTAATAATAAACCGATCAAACATAAATATTGATGATGCAGTTGTTGTCGAAATATGGTTCTTGAAACTGTATAGTTCATTCCTCCATTTAAATTACATTTGCTGAAAGATTGTATACGGATAACAATTTCAATAATTTAAGATTACTAACGAATTACCCCGATATCTGAATATACTTAATCGATGCCAATAGAATTTCTGGTTCACAATATTCTATACTGAGTGCAGTATAATTGAGTTTACATAAATTGGTCGATTGATTGGAGAATATTCCGATGATACCTGAGAAGAAGAACAACATTAGAGGTCCAACGGCTTCATTTCCGCATGCAGCCACAAGGTCAACTGTCAATAAAATTATATCTAGTCGAGTGGCAAATCGAAAACTGAAATAAATGACGAATATAGATTTGTTTTCGGCTCAATCAAACACAAAGTTTTACACAACAAAAAAGAATGAGACTGGTTTAGTTTTTTCCTCTTTTTTGTTCAGTTCATTACTCTTTGATTGTTTATGACTCCTGAAAATCCGTATAGAGAAAAGTGACGAAGATTAATTAACTTTACTTACTTATCAGAAGAAGTCAATGAAAATCCATTTTGATTACAATGATCGTCATTCGTCATCTATAATAATTTAATGGATCAAATCGATCGAGATAAACATTATATTGATTTTTATTTTCTATTTAACAGAAATGTTACAATAGTGAAATTTTCATGAATGTTCTAAAAAATCCAGCTGTCTTTTATTTCTTTCAGCATGTATCCTGGATTGTTTGATGCGTAACCCATAGACCTTTATCATTGTAAACAAACTGCTATTCTTATATTCGAATTTTGTGCCACATAACATTTTAGTTCCTTTTTCTAAACGATAGAATTCCTCGTCATTCGCCAGATGACTTTTGAAACAGTAATAACATATAGGAAGAAAATGAAAAGTACAACGAAAGAGAAGAGCTGAGGAAGATACATACTTCGGACGAGGTACTGAGCGCACGAGAACATAAAAACAATGAAGGTAATCGACATATAAGTATTTCTCACAATCGAAATCCAATTTTCATGTATAGAGTGAAAAAGCATACGTAAAGAAAAACATTCTCTATAAAGAAACTCTTAATAGTTCTATGATGATGTTTTCATTCTATTAGAGACGCAAACGAAAGAAAATTCTGTTTTTCTTCTATCTAAAAGAATAGTATTATTTGAGACGGATTCAATAAAAATATCTATTAACGAAGAAACTACTGTCTTCGGTCATGGAAACCCGAAATAACAAGAGTATCTTTAGAAGAAGGAAATGAATCAATGTGTTTTACTTAATATCTTCATCTCTAAAAACTAGAACAATACAATAATTTTCATCGTTTAATAAGATAGGCATTGTTTAAGTCAATACGGAGATTTCTCTTTATTTTTTGAAAGACATCCCCTTTTTCGACTTTCAAGGATATATGATAACTAAATCGTCCTAAAATAGACAGGTCCGAAACAGTTGCCACTCATAGTTGTAGAAAGTCATTTTACTCTATAATGGATAGCACAATTTTCCACGTAATATTAATGGTTTTTGACAACCATAAAATACTAATCTACGGGTGTAGGTCTTTAAAAAAATGAATTATTCGTTTTCTTCCGTCGAATGTCACACTATTGTTGTCTCTGAACATTTGCATTCAGCAAAATTTGAGTATCTTTTCTGGAAAAAAGGTTCCGAATCCTGTGTATTTTGTTTAATCTTTTTATTGTATATTTATTTATATTACTTAGGACATACCAAAAGTACGGGCAGTGACACTTTAATACCGTATAATAGGTTTAAATAACTTTCTTTCTATGTAGTCTGATAGAGAAAAAAAAGCTCTATCTTTCTATGCTATTTGATCATAGCTCAACTAATATTATATACTTTATAGCATTTCGAATGCTTGGAAATCTTCACTTTTCATGACTTTATATTGGTTAAATTTTTTATACGTTTCTACATGTTGTCCATTGTTATTTACCGAACTGAGAAAGGAGTATAAAGAGCGGGAGAAAAAAAAAGAGTGATTGAAAAGTCTTTCAATGTGCTAACACATTTCTTTTTTTTTCTCTAATGATGATATCGATATATTCTTCACGACAGCGCACACGAATCAGGTGAGTTGGTATGCATAAAAAAATATCGAAGGTGCTATTAATGCTGCTTCAGCACATAATATTTATATACAAGTGCAGGGCAGGAAGTGAGATTGTCGGAAGCTGCATTAATAACACATTCGAAATTTTTTTCTTTCGGCCTTTTTATACCATTCGGTGAGTACTCAAAGTCGACCATCATATTCTACCCTTTATTGACTGTTCACATTTATTTTCTTTCTATAACAGATAGTACTAAAGATTTGAAAAAAGTTTGTTGATCGTCACTATTCAGTTTAGTATTAGTGTGATCGATGCCGGTGAGCTTATTCTCTTGAGTTTTCCAATATACTAACAATTTCAATAATTTTGAGAAAATATGAATCCCAAATAGTCTACAACGTTCTAAAGTCATTTTATATTCTTTCCTCGTCCTTTGGCGACGTCAATATTGTTTCTTTGAATTAACTGAAGTGTTGGTCATTGAGGTTTTATAGAAACATATGAGGAGAAAAGTCAATAGAAGACATCGTTTGAGGCGCATAAAGAGAGAATCCAATCACAATTTAATTCGTTTCACATTTTAATATTTTGAGCAATAGAGCAGGAAGTCTCGAATCTTGTTCCACTTGTTAACAATTTAACTCAAAAGAATTGTTTTATCGTTAGAAGTTCGTTGGTTAACCAATGAAACATGACTATATTGACGTGAGACTAAAGCAAAATATCATCTTTTACTGACTTCTTTGATCGGTGTGAAATGTCAATTGAAAATCGTTTCTTTCTTTTTCTTACTGTCGCAACTGAACGACGAATATCTGTCAATATTTTCATTTCTTTTACTAGCAAGAAAAGTATCTCAGTCTTTTAGGCATACTTATCGGTTTTTAGCGTATTTTCAAGAATAGTTTTTCAAAACTCTTATTCAACAAGAATAATATGATATTTTTTTTGTCTTATCGTCTTTATCTTCTGTTATGATGTTTATCAGTGCAGAAAAAAAGGAAGAAACTTTAAACTTCTTTTTATGAAATAGAACAACTAATTGTCGATCTTAATTGTCTAAATAGTAGTTCAGTTATTCATTCTCCAAAATGCTTTGAGACAATCATCAGTATAGACCTCGATTGTAACATTGCTTAAGACGTTTGCAAAAAAAGGTACATAAAAATGCAAATGTCACTTCATGTACAAGCATTCCGTCAGTAATCGAAAGGCTCAATTCGACAAAATACGGAGACATGCTTCAAAATTACTTCTTTAGAGTAGATTAAAGACGACGAACAATAATTGAACTATTGAGAAAAAATAAGTGATCGCTTGTTCTGCATAATTAGGATTCACACTGACACTTAAATACTTCAAATTTCATTCGTTATCATTGGTCCATAAAAAATAAATCATAAAATATGATACGTGCTGGTGTATTAGATTTCCAAACATGCTTCTATATTTCCAATTCAGTCTATTTTCCAATCAGTCGATGGCACTACGATAGGAATAACTTAAAAACAATTAGAGCAATTAATTTGTATTTCAATGCAGCCATCTGCAGTAGAAATGTGGCTCTTTCAATTTAAGACCAACACTTTCTCCTGTCGACTCGTTGTCGAATGTATGTCTTGATTCAATTCTAGATTGATACTTCACATAAATAGTTCCAGAAAAATTTAAAAAAAACTCATAAATAACAGATAGGTCCAAACACATATGTGGATAGGAAATGTGATGCTGGTTCAGTTAAAATAGGGTATGTAACGACACGGCGAACGAATTGACCTACCTTCATTAGACGATGAACCATTCTCGAAACTTTCTTGCAACTGACATACTGGCTCATACTCAAAATGTGGAAAATATGTGAATATGTGCGAAACTGGAAAAAAAAGTAGTCTGAGTCAACACATATCTCAGCTTTAGACGCATCCTACTGAGTTTATGTGGCACTGTAAATTCAGAAATCGACCTTTGGAGAGTCTTGCTCGTCATATTCAAATGTTTTATCGTATGTTTTGATTGTACTCATGGCTTATGAACTTGTATATTAACACATATGTTCCATTAAATTATTTGTTGGGTTGCTTATTCATGACATCTTTCTCGTTATTTTGATCAATGGTTACATGTGTTTCCTCCAATAGAATTTTTATCCTTCCCTGTCAGTGTTGACAGAGACTGTTTATTCCATATATCGTAATTAAGGAGGCGTTGCCTAATGTGTTGAAATATCAACTCTTAAACTGAGTTCGATAGTATTCGCAAACAAACGTTTTTAGATATCAGTCGGTATCCGATTCTAGATTGATACTTCAGACAAATACATCGATAATAAAGAAACACGACTGATGCATCGCTCCAAATGAATGATCGACAATGGGAAACGATGCTCATTCCTCTGAAGTTTACGTGGCAACCCACAGAAGACGAATTGATCTATCTAAAAGAATTAATTTGTCTTCGAATGACGCAGCATGAGCTGATACCATTCCAACGACAAGATTATGTCAGTCCATCGGTGATCATCGAGGGTTTCCTGTATCATGGCGATTTGAAACACGCAATGAACAAAACATTACTTGAAGAACTCAATATTCGACGTATCATTAATGTGTGCGATTGTCCATTGGAACAAGACATTGTCGATCAACGTCATGTCTTATGGATCAATTTGGACGACGATACATACACCGATATTGCCCAACATTTCGAGACAACAAATGAATTCTTGCAGTCCTGTAAAGCGAAAGGTGAAAAAGTATTGGTTCACTGTCAGATGGGTGTTTCTCGATCGTCCTCAATTGTTCTCGCCTATCTAATGAAGTAAAACTTTTCCTTTAGCTTCGAAAATCATCTTCCTTTTTTCGATCCAGGTACCATTATGATTCTCTGGACAAAGCCTATGGTTATTTGGTCGAACGAAGGTGTTGCGCTGAACCCAATCTTGGCTTTCTCCTGCAATTGATTCGGTACGAGCGGGAATTGCGAAAGACAAATGAGATTACCCAAGAGCAGAACATTAGCGAGAAGAAAAATCTAATCGAAATACCTGATATGATCAAAAATTCAGCAGCTTCAACTAGTCCACCTGGTGAACTGGTGAAGACGAATATAGTACGATCAAAGACAAAGACACAAAACAGCATTTTATTCAGAGGAGTGTCCAGGTGCGCGGCGCTGCCCCGAAGACTGACTTCGTCTACCAGTTCCCAGAATTCGCAGCCATTGTGCCACGCACTGTGTTGTTGGCCCCTCAGAAAGACTCGTTCGTCCTCTCCAAGTTTCAAATTGCCGTTTCGGAGGAGGAAACCTGAATAAAAAATTGAAATAAAACGAAAACCCTCCCAGAAATAGAAGGCTCGAATCTTCTTTTGCGTTCGACCATTCTAAGTTCCTAGAGGAATTTTGTGCATATGCACAGAAATAGAAAAAGTGTTAATCGAAACGATACTTATCGAAAATCAAATCCAATATGAGACACATCGGCATCAAAAATGAAAACTGTATGTTAAAAGTTACAGATCACAACCACTTAAAAAAATCCAAGAAAAGTTCCAAAAACAGTGAGCAAGTCCTTATTTTATTTAAAAGTTAACAATACAATTCTTTTACTGAGCAATCATTTGTCTATGTGCAATATCAATTTCCATAAATCGTTCTATAAGCTGAGATTAGCCCTCATTCGATTATCAAACCTACTTAAAATAGAATTTCGTGCAACTCATGTACGATGTGTGTATGCAAAAGCTTTATTCGAGACTTTACCCTTTCTTTTTTCTTCCCCTTCACGAACATTCCTCATTGTAGACAGATGCATAGTACAAACGGTTGTTACGTTTCATTTTATTTTCTCCAATCTTTAAATTATATTTGACTAGATAAAAATAGAAAAGCAGATTTATACTAAATTATTTGTTAGCTTATATGAAATGCATTAGTTATGCATTTTAAATCCATAGGACTGCGTTGACTATCTTTTGAACAAGGTGCAAGTTTATTGAGTCACTAAATATTTTCTTCAACAAAAATAACATATAATTGTTTAATTTAATTGATCTATTTCAGATTTCAAAGAAAATAATCGTCAAATTTGATAATGTAATGATGATATCTATATGGTCAGAATATTCCTCAAGTGACGAATAAACTAAAATATATAAGGCAAATGAAATGAAAACAATAAAGTTAAAACGCAGTCGAAATGTTACAATATCATTTTTTCTAAACTGAAAAATATCAAAGACAAATATTAAATTATTACTTAAGATATGGAGATTTCTAATAATAGAAGGAAATAGAATTTTTTGGTGAACAGTATATTGCAGTGTAAAAGTAACATTTTTTAAAGATTAAATCGGAAATTTTTGCAAGAGACAGAGAAAACATGAATGATTAGTCCTCTCATTAGGAAGTCTAACAGTACATTTCAAGTCTGAAAAGCACGTTTTCATCATCATATAACATTGATCAATGAATATTGTATTAATATAACGATGAAAAAAGAGTGTTTCACCATAAAATCGTAAAAAAAAGAATAGATAAAAATGTAAACAATTTTACACGATAAAAACCGTAGATTCTTTTTGTGATTATATTCGAACAAATTTTGTTGAAATATTTATGTGTATTTGATATTAATCTCTTGTTAGTTTTCTAAAACTTTACTTGTACAATCAACAATTTATATTATCTATTCATTAAATAAAACAAATATTTTTATATTATCAAAAAAAAGAATAATTTTTTTAACAATAATTATTGATCTGTGATACGCAAAAAATAAATCAGATAATTTTTCTATATTTGTTGCTTCTTCTGTTAGCATATTAAGATAAAGTTCAATTATTGAATAACAAATTGTTTATTCATTTTGTTTATATATAAATTCAACTAAATGAATGATAAACATGTCTTTAATAAATCTATTATGATTGATTAATCATGAATATGTAACAAAATAAATTTTAAATAATATGTTTTAGGAAACAAATATTGAAATAATAAATTCATGTTTCACATTATGATAAGTTTCATTATTAAGAAATTTTCATTTAAACATATTATGAGATAAGTATTGTTAATATTAACATAATATAGGCTACAATTATCTATAACAAAAATAAAAAAAAGACTAGAAAATCTTCAAAATGAAGGAGAAGATTTCTTCTTCATTTATTAATGTCATAATGAATTTGTTGGCGTATTAGATTTTGCTACATTCTCATTGATAACATTAACAATATTATCAATAACTTGTTTAGCTTCATGCTCCAATAATATTTCTGCTGTTTCATTATATTGAATTATTGTCATAATAAAGTCAATCCTTGTTGAAACAAAATCGTATTCCTCCTGAGCAAGTAATGCGTTCAATCGTCTATTACGAGTTCTTAATAAATAATTTGTTGTTTGAAGTGAAACTACTTCTCGTACACACGACCGTCGAAAATTTCTGGTGATCGGGATGACGTATTGTTGGTGAGAGTTTGTAGCAGACGGAATCCTCTGCAAAGATAATAACTCATTTTATCAAATAAAAAAGAAATATATTTACATGCAGAAATAACAATTTTTTTGTCTGTTATGAGAATATTTAAGCAATAAAATTATTTATTAAAATTTTTTTAAAATCATCCTTACTTGATTCATCATTTTTGTGAATTGTCTTTATTGAAACTTTTTAACTGAGCTTTTCTTAATAGATTTCGTACCAAACAAAAACTTGTCAGAGACTGTATCTATAAAAAATCAAAATAGTTTCTCAATAACTTTACCATCAAAATAAAATGGGTTAATCTTTGTTGAACAACTTGTTTTTTGTCTTATTCAAAAGAATAAATTCTTGAGTAGCCTGTGCTTGTTAAACATACTTATTTCATTACTTTCTTTCAACTGCCCATTTCAATCATCATCTAAATTCTAAAAAAATCTGTATCCTAGAGAAGGACGGGTGTGGGTGTGGATCATAAGAAACTGGTCTACACCCACATCGACACAACCACACCCACACCCACATTCACACCCACACCCATAGCCACACCCGCAACCACACTCACACTCCACGATGATCAGTGTCTACCTATTATTGAGAATAAAATCAATTTAATCGTAAGATATAACATTTTCTATTTTGAATCTCTTTAATTGAAGAATGTAGTGTGAAGAAGATGGTCTTCGCCATTCTAATACAGCTGATAAAGTTAAACGTGTATCACAAGCAAAACTTGATATTATAGCAGAATGTCAATTAAGTAAGTTTATAAAGATGTCAATTAATTCTAAAGCATGATTACTCAGATGCACCGAAGCCATATGAACATAAAGTACGCGAGCCGCTTGAAACACATACAGAACCGCTTGCACCTTTTTTTGTTGAAATACCAGAAAATACGAGTGCAAAAGAAGGTAATTAAATTAGTATTAGTAACCATAGATTAGAACTTATAAATAAACTACGAATACTCCAGGACAATCGACATTTGTTGATATTGCTGTTGATGGACAAATATTTCCTATAATAACTGAATATAAAGGAAAAGTTGAAATAGCTAAAGATGTTTAGTTTAAAACAGGAATTTATACAATAACAGGTATTCCTACTTTATTTAATTCAAAATGTCGTCAAACTGAAGATTCACACAATGCTATTACATTACAAAATCAACATAGAGATTGTTCAAGAAAAATTTCATCTTTATGGTAGACCTATAAAAAAATATTAGATTAGAACATTATGTTCGACAATTCCTTGTATATATATATATATACCCCTGGCAAACGTAAGTTTCTCTCTGTATTTTGAGGATATTGTTACCAAAAGAACATATTTTTTAAAAAGTAACGACATATTCGGGAAGCCCGTGAAATTTTACATCTTTCTGTATTTTTATATTTTTGTTCGGACGGCTGT